TTGTGTATCCAAGCCTTGTGTGGATATATTTTAGATCTCTCAGGAAATCAAAGCATGTGGACAAGTGCAGTTAAGGCAGAAGATATATTATGATGCTGCTAAATGGCAGAGCAAGTTTGAATTATTACCAATGTAATTCCTATAAAATGTCAGGCCAAGTAGTTAAGAAACACAGAGGGCAAAGAGCAATAGTCGAGTTAGTATGCCCTATTTTCTTTCTGTTCAAGTAAGTGGATGGCAAATGGGCTAACATCTCATTCAATATATCTATAAGCTGCATTACAGGTTGGAAGATATGTCTGTGCATATTTTTTCTTACATCATGACTCGGTCCTGATTTAGTTCGGAGGAATTACTCCATGTAAGAGCCAGGTGCGTCCCTATTGGGAGGGAGGAAACACAGGATAGAATTTTCCCAGCCCTTGAGTGATAAGGGCAAAGGTGAGCTATTTGGAAAAATACAGCAACAATGGAAAAATGAGATGCTCAACTTTGAGGGGAAGAAAGGTTGATTGTCCACTTATGGTTTCAACATATCAATAAAAATCTCACTAGTGAGTGGTAAAGGGCCTATTTGCACACATCATCCCATTATTACCTAATCCTGCCTCATTGATATGTGGGTTGCTAATTTACCACACCGCAAAGAGAAACAAGACAGCACCAATTCCGAACAGGAAAAGTCAGAGCAGTCAGCTGGAATCACCAGATAACTGGCATTTTCTCTGAGCCTCCACTTTGATCAACATTCCCCAACACGTCAGGGCACACTTCATGGGCAGTGACCGCCTGCATCCTCCTTCCACAGAGTTGACATCGGCGTATGTTTCATACTTCGGAACAGGATGCATCTTTGGCCTTTTAGCTTGCTTTCTTATGCTCACTCATTTTGCATGTATTTGGGTGCTCACAGCAGCTGTTTTATCTTGTCATGTCTTTTTGTTTATTACTGCTTCATTCACAGTAGTTCTGTCTCGCCTTGCCTTTTAGTGTAGGCCAAAAGCCAAAGTGGCTTGATTGTTTGCAATGAACAATCAAGGAGGAGGACATGTTGCTGTATGGCACTGTGCTATGTCAATATTATTCCTACACTACGTAACCAGCAGCTTATGCGACAAACACACTAAATGTGCTTCAACCAAATGGCCGTACCTCAAAGAATAAGGGGAACCAATTCTCATTCAAGTCAAATGGCACTGTCGTCAGGATGTGAAGAAAGTGCAGGAGGCCCACAGTTTTTTGTCCTTGATTGAATGTCCTCCAGATGAGTGAGGCACAGTATGATAGTAAATGAGGATGTCCCAGTGTAACAGAACCATCATCTGCTGGAACATTCCAGGTGTAGGGTGCTATAGACTGTATACAGGTAGTGGTGGCAGTGGCATACTATTAGGTGTCTGATCTTATTAATAGGAAAGGATTCCATTTGATCAATGTCCAACTTATCTGTGATCATTGCAATCACATCTTAGAAACCTACAGTAAGTGCCCTGGAAGTTTTCATGATTCCTAGAACCTTCATAACTCACATGTCCCTACTTAACTACCAAGGGCGGATGTCTTAGAAGGGTGACTGCTGCAAGACAATGTGTACCCTCTGCAATGATGGCTGATGACTGCATTACACCATCCCCTGACTGAGGACAAGCTTGCATTCAATGTAATATTATCTTCCCCAAGGGTTCACTGATGATCATGTGATAGATTTGTTCAAGAAGCAACTCCAATGTTTGTGTAGTCTGGGATTCCTTCCAGTATGCTATAGAAAAACTGCACTGTATTATCCTTGCATGGTGTGCTCTGGACAACTGGGGCAGGCAAAAAAAGGGATCAGACAGACAATAAGAAGCTGTGACAGTGATAGCATTTTTCCGAGGAGGAAGATAAGGACAATGATCAGGAGAACCATCACCTTCACCATGATACAGTGCTCAAGTGTCAGCCATAACAAACTAAACAGGACGTGTTTGACACCTGTTTCCAATCGAATGGAATTGGGTGAAATCATCACAATGAAAACAAATTTCTGGAGAAACTCTGCAGGTCTGGCAGCATTTATGGAGAGTCAACGTCTTGGGACCAGTGACCTTTCTTTGTTCTGAAATGAACAGCAATTTCTGGTTTGTAACATTTGAACTAATGCACAGCTGAGTTTTAAATGTGGCACTGGTGTTGTGAAACCAAGGTCCTGGCAGTGGTAAGCAAGTCTGCTCCTACTGAGCATAAGATAGTGTGACAGCAGCACCATAGAGATGTAGTAGTGTATATTTAATCAGGTGAGCACTGTAAAATTACTAGAGCTCAAAGAGGGAAATTGTCCATGAAACTTCTCAATATTGACACTTAGCCAAATTTTAGGAAAATTCAGTCCATAGTTTTCAACTTGTCCGAGTTTAGCGTCTTAGCTACATCCTCAAAAGTCTCTACGAAGTGGATAGAGGCAAAGCATGTTCATTGCCTAATTTTTAAGCTGCCAAAGAAAGCATGTCACAAGAGATCAAATAGCGATGCTAATAATTAAAATCCTGAAAGTAGAAAGCATACCTTGTAGAACTGGAACTCCAACTAAGTGAAGAACCTGAGTAACTTTCTGCTGTGCATTCCAATGTAGTCATATCTCCCTCTTTCTCCATTGTAATTTTTGGTTTCCTGGATTTTGCTCTAACAAAAAAGGTCTTGGTGGGTAGTAACATTTGGATTACTCCCAGTGCCATGTGCTAGTGAGAGTAGGAATAAGTGTATGAAACAGATGAATGCATGGCGAAGGAGCTGGTATAAATGGCAAGGATTCACATTTTTGGTCATTGGGATCTCTTCATGGGTAGAAGTGACCTGTATGAGAAAGATGGATTGCACTTGAATTGTAAGAGGACTAATATTCTGGCGGGGAGATTTGCTGGTGCCACTCGGGAGGCTTTAAACTAGTAAGGCAGAGCAAGTGGGACCTAAAAAGATAGTGAGAAAAGAGATAGGTCTGAGGCTGGTACAGTTGAGAGAGTAGCAAGTTAAATAGTCAAGGCAAGCAAGAGCAAGGCAGAGGACCAAGTAAGACTGGTCAATGAAAACAGCTGCCACAGACCCCTGGAGACCTTTTACTTTTTTTTTAAAACAGACTAGCATTCTTTTCTCAAAACTTTCAATAAGTTGATAATTGGAGAGAGCAAAAACAAAGAACAGCTTCCAGTCCAGCAGCTTCTAAAGAAAAACCACCTCCGCCCAAAGTCCAGCCTTTTGTTTTTCTTTATAACACTTTCCGTGGTTAGCTGGCCAAACCTGATCCTCCCATCATCAACCAATCCAACCAGCTGCCTCAACATATCAACATCTCAGAGCTGAATCATCTGCAATGTTCTTAGAGCAGTAATTATCTTGCATTATCTTTCCAGATCCATTCCCTATCAACAAATATCAGTCTTTGGTTCTCTCCTTTTTTAAAATAGCAAGCTGCTGTTCAAAGTTCAAACTGCATTCTAGGTAGGTAAGATGGGGTAAATTTTGATAGGGGGTTAAGGCAACCACTTACCACTTGAACTTTAAAGCCCTAATTGGGGAATCAGGTGAACTGAGTGATCTAGGGTTGCAGATTCACATATTATCAAAAAGTAGTGATGCACGTTAATAAGGTCACAAAAAAAACCATTTAATTTCTAGACATTTAAATTCCTTGCTTTCCAATTGTAATGTTCAACTCACAAAGATTATACTTGGCAGCACAGAGTTCTGTTCTCCATACTATAGACAAACAGTCGGTACTTCCGGAACATTTCCCTCCTGTGACCCCATTTTAAGGCTTGATAACTACTGCCACTCCTCAGCTAATGATGTGGGAGAAGAACTACTACTGGTGCATGAGGAAAGGAGGGTCTGCCATCGCTACCTCAGAGATCGCAACTTTACTTAGGAGTCCAATCTTCACTTTGGGAATCCCTAATATAAAAACATTGTAAAAAGTACAAGGATGATAGCAGAATTGAGAGGCGGTATCTGTCAAAAAAGATTAAACAGACAGCAATTCCTTTCTCTGGAAAAAAGGCTGAGCAATGTCTTGAGCATAAAGATTACAAAATGTCTGGACGTAGAGATGTTTTAATTTGAAGTTCGTATCAGAACTACAAGATGTCTAGACGTAGAGATGTTTTAATTTGAAGTTCGTATCAGAACTATGAGCCATAAACACATTAGTAATTAATAAATCTAATAGGGAATTCAAGAAAAAAATCTTGACCCAATTTCGTTAGAACATGGAACTCAAGAACAAAAAGAAGTTGAGACAAACAACTTAGATGTTTTTAAGGGAGATCTAGGAAAACACAAGGGATTTCTTGATAAACAGAAGGGAGAAAGGAGCTGAATGCCAATAGAGTGACATAAAACGAGTGGGAGGCCAATGCAGACTTCAAAAAAGTCTTCCAGCACATTAATTGATTTGAAGCCAGAAGTCAGGCAAATTCTCTCTTCATTAAGACTTGGATATGTTGCCAATAGTCCTGAGAATACCATTCATAAAACAAAAGCAAATTACTGGAAATCTGAACTATAGATAGGAAATGCTGGGAAAACAGAGCAGGTCAGGTGGCATCAAGGAAGAGAGAAAGAATAGAAACTGGAAATGTTAACTCTTTTGCTCAATTTATTTTGAGCAGTTTCTGTTTTACGTGTAGCTGTAGTAATGTTAATTCAGCACACATCAACTCTGACCTTTATCTGTCAGTAAGCCAACTACTTCTTGCCGAAATTATCATTCTTTGAATCATCTTTCTTTGAAGGTGACTGTTTCCAAAACTGAATTCCCACAAGTAGGAAAGCAAATGGTAAAATAAATAGCAGCAATTACAACCTTATGTTTCCAATTTCCTACTAAAAATACAAAAACAAGTCACACCCAAGCTGAAAGCACTAGCAGATATTCTGCTCCCTTTGTACTGTTCTTTGCCCTGCTAATAAAACCGAGGATGTAATCACATGATATCATCAGGAGAAATGTAATTTGCATTACTCACTCCAAGCCAAACATGTTCAATTTCTGTTCGCACCACAGTGTCCACTGGATCCTGGTTGCCAAACCAGTATTGCCGACTACGATAAATGATGCCACAATTTGGGCACTCAATTACATACCTGAAAGAGGTAATAAGTTTGTCAACTAATTAAATTCATTAGTAGTTCACAAAAAAAAAGGTGTGCATACGATTCCAATATTCCTGTACAGCAGTAGTACCCAAACTTTAGTTAGTTGCTTCCTTCCAAATCTATTTGCTGCCTGTGGGGTCAATACAGTATCAGGTTTGATACTTTAGCTCTTAACAAATAAACCTTGTACAAAATGTAACACACATATCCAAATTTAACACTGGCATAATAATACTGTTTTTATGTGACAAACTATTCTCAACTCAACAACAACTGTCCCCAGCTCTCCCAGAAATTAACTGCACCCAAGTTTCCCAACTGTCCAGTCCCCATCAGGGCCTACTACTGGATGCAGGTGGCAATAACTCAAGTTCTCCCCACCTCGCACACATGGCCTATGTGAGGCAGTCAACATTCACGGTGTCTCTTGGATTCTTTTGCTACAATGGCATTACCCGAAACACAGATCCAGAGCATGCTGATGTCATCATACCAATTTTACCCGAGCCTTTGGCACATCTGGGATCTCAGAGACCTCTCGTGAGACTTCCAGCCAGCTCTGCCAATTTCAGGCTGCTCTAATATCCAGAGCGCACCAGGTTAAGGGGGAAGAGACAAGTTTACTGGCAATTGTACCACATATGAGCAAATTGCATGTTTTCTAATTGAATTTCTTTTGAACCAAGCTCTCCCCAAAATGTAGAAAAAGCATCAAACTCATACTTTACAGATAGTAAGAACTGCAGATGCTGAAGTCAGAGATAACACAGTGTGGAGCTGGAGGAACACAGCAGGCCAGGCAGCAGAGGAGCAGGAAAGCTGACATTTCGGGACCCGAAACGTCAACTTTCCAGTTCCTCTGATGGTGCCTGGCCCACTGTGTTCCTCTAGCTCCACACTGTGCAAACTCACACCAGACTTTTTTGCTGAAACTCGACATGACTTCCTGGGTAGCATGCTACAAACAAGCTCCACTGTTCCCCAAGTCATCACAAATATAAAACTTTGAGTAAACCACCAAATTTACCAAACTGCCCCATTCAGATTACAAGAATATGCACACCGCATTTTTAGTATTAACAAGGAAATAAATATTTATTGTAATCAGATTTTAACCAATGGCAAGAAAAGAAACAAGAATCCCTAATTATAATACTGATGACAAGAAAGAAACACGAATTGGTAACTTATAATTGTACAAATTAAATTTTACCCCTTTAAAATTCCCAAACATACACAAACAGAACACAAAGAGGCAAGACAAGACAACAGATATTACAGGTGTGTTTCAGGAAGGACCAAGAAGTCAGTTCTGGCATCAGTCCAAATAAAGCTAATGAATTGTTTTCCTTCAGTTCGGCTTGGTTCATTCTGACTCTGATGAGTGTGCAAGGTTGCTGGCATGCTGTTTCCCAATCTTTCATTCACTAGTTATAAAGATTCACTCTTACAGTACCTCAAAGTGGTTTATTTCAAGAGGAGAATTTGGAGACAGGGAAACAGAGACACACAGAGACCAAGAGAGCGCGACAGAGCACGCGCGAGAAAGAGGCGGGGGCGAGACGGGGAGGGAGAGGGGGAGGGAGAGACACAGACAGACAGAGAGCGGGAGACGGCCAGGCTGCCAGGCAGGCACGGAGCCAGAGAGAGACAGAGACAGAGAGAGAGAATAGCTAGCTGCTCAGATTTTCTGTTAGTTCACCACTCAGAGGCAGAGAAGTTTACATGGTTTCTCTTCTTTGGCAGAAATATCCAGCCGGTATTGGCCAAACACAAAGGTGTAACCATTTGGCCAAGAACCAGTTAAGGGGTTGTCACTATTGTTACAACCCACCACGATAGGGTGTCATAGATTGAGCTATTCCTAGAATCATACCAAATGTTAACGTTTTGTTTTTAGGGTACATACAGGTCACCAGTTTACCTGAATTTCAAACCAAGATTGATAGAAAGCACATACGAGGTTTCTATACCAAATATGAATTAGTATTCATTACAGATAGACTGCACATTGCAGGAACCTATAACCACAAAAGAAGTGATCAGAATAGGTCGCAAACCCCTTGGTGTGGAATTCTCCAGCTATCCTGGTAAATTCCTGCTTTTAGAAACAATTATTTCACCATCTTCTCCAGAGCTTTAACGCATGGTTCTTCTGCTGTGCTGAGAACGTGTAAACATACATAATTGGTCCTGGTTGAAAAACCAATTAAAAGTCTATCACTGGGCAAAACTTCCCTATACACACAAAAACAGGGGTAAGAGAAAAGCCAAAAGAACTGTGGATGCTGTAAATCAGAAACAAGAACAGAAAGCTCAGCGGGTCTGGCAGCATCAGTGAAGAGAAACCAGAGTTAATGTTTCGGGTCTGGTGACTCTTCCTCAGAACTGGTGGTAGCTAGGAAAATGTCGCTTTATATGCAGAAAGAGGGTGCAGCAGAGGGTCAGGAGTAAATGGTAGGTTGGGATAGAGCCCAAAGAGAGAGAAGAACAGTTGGAAAGACAAAAGAGTGGATAGCAATCTGACTAGGAGGGCGAATAGCTGTTAAATGGAGACTGTTAGAGGCTAACAATAGGTAGTGTGTAAGGCAGACTGAGATAACAAGGCCTGGTGTATGGGGTAGGGGGCAAGGATATGGCAGAGTTCAGTTCCTAAATTACTGAACTCCATATGGAGTCCGGAGGGCTGCAGGGTCCCCAAATGAAAAATGAGGTGTTGCTCTTCCAGCTTGTGCTGAGCTTGCTGGAACACTGTAGCAAGCCGGAGATGGAGATGTTGGCCACTCCTTTTCGTTTTATATATTTATAGAAACTTTTCCTATCTGTCTTTATATTCTGTGCTAGTTTTTTCTCATTTTCTATCTTACTTTTCCTTATAGCTTTTTTTGTGGCTTTCTGTTGACCTTTAAAGTTTTCCCAATCTTCTAGTTTCATGCTGTTTTTGGCCACTTTGTATGCCTTCTCTTTCAATCTGATAGCCTCCCTTATTTCTTTAGACACCCTTTAGATCCCTGCTGAAGGCAGACAAGGGAGAGGGAAGGGAATATGTGTCTAATGGTGGCATCTCGTTGGACGTGGCGGAAATGGCGGCTGATGATCTTCTGAATGTGGATGCTGGTCAGATGGTAGGTAAGGGAAACCCTATCGCTGTTGCAGGAAGGAAAAGAGGGGGTGAGGGCGGAAGTGCAGGAGAATGAGGTGCAGTTTGGGGATCATTAGAACAGGACATATTGATTTGGTCAAAGAGGGTTGTGAAGGCTCAGTGTTTATGTTCAAGTAGAATTTGAAAGATCTCTGATTACCAATGGCATATCAGTTTACAGGGACTGGGTGAGAAAAAGCACTGCAGTGTTTGATTAGCTATGGACATAGTCAATGATGGAACAGACTTCATGGGCTGAATGCTTACTTCTATTTTTTAAATTCTATTTTTGTCTTGATCTTCAATGAACAGACTTCGGGCCTTCTTTGCTTATATTTTCCAAACACGCTAGTCCTAAAAACTATTGGTCTTGACTGACTGTCTGTTCTAAGTGTGAATAAATGTGTCTATGCTTGGATTTAAAGGGGATTAGTTTAAATTTGCATAGCAGTAATTCATCATCTATTTTGCTACATTTTAGAGGTTAAGGCTGTTACAATAAATATGCTTTTGTTTCTCAGTCAGTCATTGATGAAATCTGGTAAGAGTTCTTTTATCTTAAACAGTGGTCACAGTCAGCTGCTAACCATCCAGGAGATGGAAAAGGAGTTGGTGTAGCACTGCTAGTTAAATGATACAATAATGAGGAAGGATATTAGTTTCAGTGAAGTGGAATCTGTAAGGGTAATTTAGTAATACCAAGTGATAGAAAACAATAGCGGAGATTGTATGCAAACCCCTGAATTAAAGTCATAGTGTTGGGTGAGCCATTAAGCACGAAATTAGAGATACAAACACTAAAGGTAAAACTGTAATTATGGGCATCTTCAATCTCAATGAAAATTGGGCAAATCAGAACAGTATCAGACAGGAGAAATTCCTAAATTGTGTACAGGATGGGTTTCCGGGATCAATATGTTGAGGAACGAATTGAAGAACAGGCCATCCTAGACGGGGGTGTTATATAATGAGATAATTGGCAGTCTAGCTTTGTGACGGCCCTTGGGGAAAATTGACCATAATATAACAGAATTCTTCATTAAAATGGAGAATGATGTAGTTCATTCTGAGATTAAGGACCTGAATCTAAATAAAGGAAACTACAATTAAGAGATGCAAGCTGGCAATAATAAATTGGGGAATGTTACTGAATAGGCAATGGCTAATATTTGGACAGTGCGTAAAGGAACTGCAACAATTATTCGTTCCATACTGGAATATAACATAAAACAGGAAGGTGGCCCAACAATGACAAACAAGGGAAATTAGGAACAGTATTAATTCTAAGGAAGGGACATAAAAATTGCTCAATAAAAGCAGTAGACAGGATAATTGGGAATAGATAAGATTTTAGTAACGGAGCACAAAGAAATTAGGAGGGGGAAAATAGAGTACAAGAGTAAACTTGATTTCAATAGCTCCTGCAGGTATGTGAAGAGAAAAATGTAGGTCCCTCACAATTAGAATCAGAGGAAGTTATAATGGTGAACAAAGAGATAGCAGATCTATTAAATACATATTTTGGTTCTGTCTTCACAAAGGAGACACAAATAACATTCCAAAAATGTTGAGGATGCACAAGATTCAGTGAGAGGGAGGAACTTGAAGAAATCAGTATTAGCAGTGCAATGAAATTGCGGAAAGTTGATGGAATTAAAGGCCGATAAATCCCAAAGACCCAATAATCTACCTCCCAGAGGACTTAAGGAAATGGCCTAGAAATAGTGAATGAATTTTTTTTTTCTTTATTCATTCATGGGATGAGGGCGTCACTAGCTAGGCAACATTGATTGCCCATCCCTAATTGCCCAGAGGGCAGTTAAGGGTCAACCACATTACTGTGGGT